AATTTTAGCTTCTTGGTCAAATTCAAGTGTTCATAGGTGTGTGGGTTAAAGTCAGGGTTTTCAATTAGGTTCCATTGGTCTACCTGTCTATTTTTGTGCCAATACCAAGCTGTTTTCAGGACTATAGCTCTATAATAGAGGTTGAAGTCAGGTATGGTGATGCCTCCTGAAGTTCCTTTATTATATAGGGTTCTTTTGGCTATCCTGGGCCTTTTGTTTTTCCATATAAAGTTGATTATTGTACTTTCAAGGTCTGTGAAGAATTGTTCCAGAATTTTGAAGGGATTACATTGAATCTGTAGACTGCTTTTGGCAAGATTGTCATTTTTATTATGTTGATCCTACCAATCCAAGAGCATGGGAGATCTTTCCATTTTCTGCTATCTTTTTGATTTCTTTCTTTGAAGACTCAAAGTTCTTGATATACAGGTCTTTCACTTCCTTGGTTAACATTATCCCCAGATATTTGATGCTGTTTACGGCTTTTGTAAAGGGTGATGTTTCTCTGATTTCTTTCTCAGCCACTTTATCATCTGTATATAATAGGGCCACTGATTTTTTTTTAGTTAACCTTGTATCCTGCCACTTTGCTGAAGGTGTTTATCTGCTCTAGGAGTTCCCTTGCGGTTCTTTTTTGGGTCACTTATGTAAACTATCATATCCTCTGCAAATAGTGAAAGCTTGACTTCTTATTTTCCTATTTGTATCCCCTTGATCTCCTTTTGCTGTCTTGTTGCTCTAGCTAGAACTTCAAGTACAGTATTGAAGAGATATGGAGAGAATGGACAGCCTTGTCTTGTTCCTGATTTTAGAGGAATTGCATTGAATTTCTCTATATTTAGTTTGATGTTAGCTGTTGGTTTCATGTATATTGCTTTTATTATGTTAATGTATGTTCCTGTTATCCCTGATCTCTCTAGGACCTTTATCATGAAGGAGTGCTTGTTTTGTCAAAGGCTTTTTCAGCATCTAGTGAGATGATCATGTGGTTTTTCTTTCACAGTTTGTTCATATGGTGGATTACATTGATAGATTTTCATATGTTGAACCATCCCTGCATGTAGCCTCATAAAAAGAGGTTGGCAGTGAACCTCCTGCTTCTAATGAGTGGAAGACTTTGGGGAGGGGAGTGAGAGCTGGGAAAAGATAGGGGAGAAGAGGTGGAGAGAGTAGGTCATGAGGCAGCAGCAAGGTTGAGTTGGGGGAACAATAGCGGGAGAACAGGATGAGAAATACCATAATAGAGTGAGTCATTATAGGCTTGAAGAGAGATGTGGCACCAGTGAGACCTCTAGTGATTGATCTACATGGATGACACAAACTGGCAAGCTAAGCAATAGTGGGGAGACTACCTTAAATGCCCATTCCTGATAATGAACTCAACGACTACCTTATATGCCATCCTAGAACCTTCATCCAGTGACCGATGGAAGCAGAGGCAAACACCCACAGCTAAACATTGAACTGAACCCCTGGAACCCAGTTATAGAGAGAGAGGAGTTATGATTAAATAGACAAAGAATGGGCTGACAAAACCAGCAGAGACAGCTGACCTGACTGACAGCTGGGAGTCCAGAATGGGACTGATAAGACCCCCTGAATGTGAGAGTCAGTGAGCAGGCCTGGGCAACCTATGGGGACCTGGGCAGTAGATCAGTACTTATCCCTGGCATACAAATGGATTTCATGTGTTCATAACACAAAGAGGGATGCTCTTTCAGCCTGGACTCTTGGGGGAGGGTCTGAAGCCTGCCCTAGGAGAAATGACAGACTCTGTATATACCCTATGTGGAAGGGAGTGGGGATAGGGTGGGAGGCTTGCGGGATGTTGAGGGAGGTGCTGGAGGAAGAGAGGGAGAGGGAGCTGGGATTGACATGTAAAGCAAGCTCTTTTCTAAAAAAATGTAATAAAAATAATGAAAAAAGTACTACAAAAATGTATACACAGATAGAAAAAAGATACAGTACACAATAACGCAATGACTAAATTATATAAAGCCAAAAAAAAAACCAACTTCAACAGTGTTCAGATCAAGAAATGTGGATTGGTTCCCAAAAGCTAGCCAAAATTTTAGTGATGGCTCTTGCTTCCACTAGTGGGAATCCCACAAATAGAGCAAACTACACACCTGACACACATATAAGGAGGGAATAGTCTGGTCTCATGCCAACTTAGTGACTGTCATTCTAGATTCTCTGAGCTCATATTAAGATACTTGTTTCTGTGGGTTTCCTTGTGATGCAATGTCCTTGAAATCCCCCCTCCTTAATCCCTTCTCTTAATCAGGGGTTCTTGGACTTAGTCCAGTGCTTAGCTGTGGGACTCTGCATCTGTTTCCACCAGTTACTAGATGAAGGCTCTCTGAAGACAATTGGAGTAGTCTCCATACCATGAGTATAACAGAATATCATTAGGCATCATTTCCTTGCCTTTTTTTCCTCAATCATGTTTGGTTCTATCCTACCTCTCTGTACCTTCCAACCTCTGAATCCTAGCCCTCCAAGTAGTTTCAGGATGAGCTTAATCTGGACATGTGCAGATGTGTGTAGAGTCAGTAGTTGATGATGTATAGAGTACACATGCATGTATTTATAGGTGTGAAAATACATATGGTAAATCATATAACAAATTAATGTAATATATATCATATTCAAATATATTAAATATATGATATTTATGGTAATTTGAAATTTATATATATATACATATGATCATTTGAAAATGATACAGACACACACACGTATATACATATAAATCACACAAACACAAATGAACAATGGTGTTTCAAGGGTAGAAGTAGGACAATGCAAAAATTTATAAATCTAGGTAGTCAATAAAGAGATGTTCTATTTTCTCAAATAAAAAGAAGTATCAGTTTGCTTCATTCACATAGTCTCAATTGTGATTTTTATAGAAATCCAGATGTTTGCTGAATTGCATTCTCCCAAATTTTGCTTTTTTTTCTTCTGTTTTTATTACTTCCTCAAAAATTGGATCTTACTCCAGTCTTCATACTTTTACTCTGTGATTTAGCATCATGTCTTTCCACTAGACAGGCTTTTGAGTCTACTTCACTGTTTTACCAAGGCTTTGCTTAATTCTCCCCCTAAACTCTTCTCCAAGGTACATACATATCTTATAAGTTGTAAAATATGAATAAGAGAGGTATATGTAATTTTAAATAACTTATCTAGGGTGATAACCTTTATGATTTCTTTTCTGTGTTCATTTGTTTTGTTTTTTTATGATTTCTTTTCTGTGTTCATTTGTTTTGTTTACTCTTTCCTACTGCCCTAATTGTCTTACTAGAAGTTTCCATTGTTAAACTGTTGACAAGTTTCCTTGTCCCACTTCCCTCAATCTTTTTATGTCTCCACATCTTATGACACCAAAGGAAGTACCCCTGCATGTGCTTTAAGATGGGGGAAAATGCATGAAAATCATGTTGATGTTAAAATGTCTCAAATTTAAATAAGAAAAATACTCTATAAAGCAAGCTAGTGGTCCTACAAGAACACTATATGATTAGAATTTGGATAAATTCTGACTTACATAATATTGGAAACATCAGTTGCTTACATTTTTGTTATTCATTGATAGATTACAAAATCTAACTCCCCATGCAACTCACTGTTTGTGTGATGTATTTAAAATTTTGTTTAAGATTTCTTGGAAATTATACCTGTGATGCCACCATCACTGGATGATATTAACTATCTTTTTCCTCAAGTTGCCTTTGAGAATTCCTGTTGACTATGGCATTGTGCAGTTTTAGTATATCTCAAAAGCAGTTTTCATTCATTTTATTTGGTATTTATTTACCATGAATGTTTTAGTAAAATGTTCATCATTTTTAGGAGCATACATACATACTACTCACATTGCCTTGGGACATAAAATCTGATTTATTCAAATGCTAAAACCTTTGTGTTTTTTCTGAAAGTTTTCTGAATTCCAATTGTCTCCAAAGGATATGAAAACCCTAGATGGCCTGAACAAAATTTTTCGATATCTGCCAGTTAAGTTTTAAGTAATGTTGATAAACAACTCACCTCAATTTGTTTCAAGGCCGAGTCTCTCTTTTCCTCTTCCATTTATGATGGTTCAGAAAGCAAATGCCATGTTTGTCTGTAGTAATTCCCATAGAGACAGTTAATCTAATGTTTGTTTCTAAGTTTTTGATAATGTACATGTGTCATTGTAAAACAGATAAAGTTTTGAAATATCGTGTTCAAAACTAAGAAAGAACCTTCAGGAAAAAAGCCCTATTGCATAGAATTAATAGCCACCCAATGATTTTAGTTTCCATTCATGCTCTATGGTTATAAAAGTTGATATTAGAAATAGGTTATAAATTAGAAGGAAAGACTACACATAGGTACATATATGTGCATATTTATCTACCTATCATCTATCCATCTATCATCTACATATCTTCATCTATCATCTCTCTCTCTATGTTTGAAGGAAGATTAGAAAATCTACAATGCCTTGTAAAATTGGTATACACTTTATCATTATTAAGATTATTTTTAGTATAGAACAGAATGAAGACAAAGGAGATTTGTTTCAATGAGTGAATCATTTTGTAAATAATGAATAATTCTTTCCACAATTAATGAGTTGTGTGATAAATTCTTTATTCTTTATTTTTATTTTTCTCTTCCCCCTTTTTATTTAAATTAGAAACAAGCTTGTTTTGCATGTCAATCCCAGTTCCTCCTCTTTCCCCTCCTCCCTGCTTCCCATGGCCTCCGTATCCCATATTCTTTATTGAAGCTTGTCTAAGTATTCAGAAAGCAAAGTCAGCCAAAACATAGAGAGGCCAGGAGGTAGTGGCATGAACCTTTAATCACAACTCAGGAGATAAAGGCAGAGAGAGGGATATCTGTTAGTTCAAGGCCACCCAGGGATACATTAGAGCAGATAAGTCTAAAAGAGAATTAGAGCACACACCTTTAATCACAGTACTCATGAGAGGTATTTAAGACAGCAACAGGGTCTCAAAACTGGCATTCTTTCTCCAGTCAAATGGCGAATAGGAAGACATTGAAGTCTCAGAATTCTCCAGCAACACTGAGGAGAGCAAAGCAGTCTGAGATTACAGTCTGATATCTGGTGGAGTCAGGATTGATTTTCAGTATGAGGTAGGAGTGAGAGTCACTGTCTGGCTGACTTGCTTTTATGATCTACAGCTTGAAGTTAAAACCCAAATATCAATCTCTGGGTCTTTTATTAATTGTGTTACATTGATTTTTCTCACTTCATAATTTGGATTGTGATTTATATATAGAGGCCTATAAATTATATAGTTAGTTCCTTGGAATGGAACCCCATCTTATTACTGCCTTTCTTTCCCTAACAGGATCTAACATATAATGGGTCATAAGAGAATAATTGGAAGACTGCTAATAATTAAATGGAAATGAAAATAATAGGGATAAATGATATGTAAGGCATATTATGACATTTTTGTGTTTATCAGTGTGTAGAATCACCTTGACATAAGGTAAAATGCTTTAATCGTTTTATTGGAGACTGAAGTTGGGAAGGACTTTTGACTCTTTTTTCTTTGATTGATGCATAGATGACGCTAAGGGATATGAATATTTATGAATGCTGGTCTTTGTGTGTTTTGTTCTAGGCAAAGGGACATAATTGGAAAATAATTTGTAAATATTTGAAAGCATTTCTTGCAAATATTTTTAAATGCCTAAGAGTATCGCCTTCAGCAACTAATCAGGGAATAAAATGATTAACTGTAGATGTCATATCTTTACACAGCAACCTAGACTGCTTAGTAACTCTCATGTTCAATTGATGCTCCAGGTAATTGTTTGAAGAAAAGGAATTTGATTTTCATGATGCATTGAAATAAATATTAGTTTTTCTCCTCAAAATATACTTTATTTTGTTAATGATTCATTATGACACATAAACTGGTTTTGTTGCAGGTCATAGGCAGAGTTTGGTGATAATGATTTTCATTTTATTAATATCTCAGACTTGGTGTAGGTGGTGTTTCTAGACTAGAGACTAGAGAACAATTGTTAATAGTTGGTTGTGAGTCAGTGGTTCTTTAACCATTAGTCAAGAAAAGAACACTGCACACAGTCTGGAAGGAGAGATATACATGGGAATGTTGACCAATAGTCCCCAGTATTTTGCTAGCTTCGTGGAACTGCAGAGTGAAGCATTCCTCTAATAGGTGAGGCTGAAGTCAAGAGAATCAGCTTAGCAGGATCATTAAAAGTCAGCATGGGACTTTTCAGAAGGAGGAAGTTGATCATATCTCTACCTAGAAATGATGCCAAGGTTTTTTGCTGTCAATTTTTCTTTTTTCTTAAGATAATTACATCTTACAAACAAAAGGGGCTATTTATATATTTCATCTAATAACACATCAGAGAGACATTCCTGGCATCAATATTTAAAATAAATATTAAACAGAACAAATTTTAATTTTAATAAATTTAGAGAATGTATAAAAAATTGATTCTTTTTGACATGATTCTTTTATTTAGAATAATCTTTCCTCATTTTACATACCAATTCCAGTTACCACTCCCTCCTCTCCTCCACATCCCCCAACTCCCCAATACCACATAGCATCTACTCCTCAGAGAGAGTAAGGCTTCCCATGTGGAGTCAAGGAAGTCTGGCACATCGCTTTGAGGAAGAACAAGGTCCTTACCCCAAAATAAGGTATCCCTCCAGAGAGAATATTTCAAAAAAGGCAGTTTAAGCACTAGGGATAAACCCTAGTCTTACTGCCAATGGCCTCACAGACTGCCCAAGTCACACAACTGTCACCCACATTCAGAGGGCCCAATTTGGTGTCATGCAGGTTCCCCAGCTGTCAGTCAATAGTCATTGCACTACCTCTATCTCAGGTCAGCTGTCTCTGTGGTTACCTCCAAAATGCTCTTGACCCCTTTGCTCATACCATTGCTCCTCCCTCTCTTTGACTGGACTTCGGGAGCTCTGCCCAGAGCTTAGCTGTGAATATTCCTGTCTGACTCCATCAGTTGCAGGATGAATGTTCTATGAGGATAATTTAGATAGTCATCAACATGGTTACAGGGCCAGGCCAATTCAGTTACCCTCTCCACTAATGCTTAGGGTCTTAGTTGGGGTCATCTTTGTGGATTCCCAGGAATTCCCATAGTGTCTGGTTTCTCACTAGCCCCTTAATGACTCCCTCAATCAAGATATTGCCCTCTCCTCCCTTCCCCTATCTCCATCATCAATTTCCCTCATATTGTCCTCTCCCTCCCATTTTTCCTTTCTTTCTGCTTTCCCTTCTCCCCCCACAATGCTTCCAATTTTCTCAGTAGATCTTGTCTATTTCCCTTTTCCAGGGAAATCCTTTTATGTCTCTCTTAGGGTTCTTCTTGTTACCTAGTTTTTCTGGGGTCATGGCCTATAGGATAATTATTCTTTGATTTACTTATACTTATTAGTGAGTACTTATCCACTTATTAGTGAGTACATACCTAGCTTGTCTTTCTGGGCCTGAGTTATCTCCCTCGGTTTTTTTCTAGGAGCAAATACATGATATAACTATTTTTTCTCTACTGCTGAATAGTACTCCATTGTATAAATGTACCACATTTTCCTCATCAATTTTTTTCAGTTGAAGGGCATGTACGTGGTTTCTGCATTCTGATTACTATAAATAATGTGGCTATGAACTTGTGGTAAAAGAATGCACCTTTAGGTATATGCCCAAGAGTGGTATTGCTGGATCTTGAGGTAGATTGATCTCTAGGTTATAAATCCACTTCGTATTGCCTGAAGAAACATTTATTTTCACAATAAGTCTGGTGGGAGACCAAGCTCTAGATCTTGTCCTTTGAGCATCCTTATCTTCTTCCATTTGTACTAGCATTTCTCCCATGTGTTGACATCATCTTCAGGCTAGGTGAATGAAGCTACAGTAACTTAATATCTTAGAGAGCAACTGTACAAGATGCAACAGAGAAAACACACCTTTTAAAAGCAATGCTTACAAAGTAAAATTGTATAGTGCCCTAGCATGGTCCTCTCTCATGTTGCATTGTCTAGGAATGAATCACAGCTTGCTTTGCACAGGGATCATATGAAAAAGTCAATGACGTTAACAAAACACATCTGAAACAACTACTTTGGAGAGAAAAAAGACATGGTTACTACAGTCAAGGGGAGACCATAATGATTTTATGGAAAGAGGGTTTTTCACCTTACCTAACTTTCAATTGCCTAGCAAATTTTGAACATTTGAAGTGCATGCTTTACTATGGTCCAAATGAATAAGTTTTATATAAATAAACTTAGCTTTAAATATATTGGTCCATGCAAGTTAGAAAAGAATTCTTCCTGTCATTGACATGTTTCTTCCAAAATGTGATGCAAAACAAACCAATAGTCAAAACCAAAGTCTATAGCCATCAGCAGATTTTCTGAATACCCAATTATAGAAAGAATGATCAGATTCTCCTAATCTTTTCCTGAGTTCAAGACTTAACCTACTTAGAACACGTCGACTTGTATGGGAACTGATCTGCCTATGGAACCCAATCTAAATCCAACAAATCACTAACTTGGTAAACACCAGAAATAATGTTTAATGACCAAATGACCACCAAAGCCTTGGTCTTGATTTTTGAGACACTAACTTTATCCTTTGACAGTTTCCAAAATAGGTCAAGTTACAGATAATAGTATTACTAATGATTATCATAGAAAAGAGCTGTGTTCACATCTTTCCTAATTTAGGGGTGGGGTTTTATATATATAATATAGTGATGTCCATGTTCCCAGGAAAAATTACTGTCCTATTCTTTCTTTCTTTTTTTCTTTTTTATTATTTTAATTTTAAATAGCTTGTTTTACATGTCAATCCCAGTTCCCTCTCCCTCCCCTCCTCCTGCACCCCCCTACCATCCCCCATCCTCCCACCCTATTGCCAATTCCTTCCACATAAGGGATATCTAGAGCCTGTCATTTCACTCAGGGTAGGGTCCAGGCACTCCCCTAAGAGTCCTGGCTGAGAAAGAATCCCTCTTTGTGTTATGGAAACACGATGTCTGTTTGTATTCCAGGGATAAACACTGATCCATTGATCAGGATCACATAGGTTGCCCAGGCTTCCTCACTGACACTCACATTCAGGGGGTCTGGATCAGTCCCATGCTGGCCTCCCAGCTGTCGGTCTGGGGTCCAAGAGCTTTCCTGCTTCTGCTGCTTTTGCCAGCCCATTCTTTGCCAATTTTCTCATCACTCCTCTCTCTCTGTCGCTGGGTTCCTTGGGTTCAGTTCAGTGTTTAACTGTGGGTGTTTGCCTCTGCTTCCACCAGTCACTGGATGAAGGCTCCAGGATGGCTATAGACATCAAGTTCATTATCAGGAATGGACATTCGAGGTGGTCTCTACACTATTGCTTAGCTTGCCAATTGGTGTCATCCCTTTAGATCACTAGAGGTCACAATGGTGCCTGATCTGTCTTCTAACCTATGATTCCCTCTTCCCCCATCCTACCTCCCCAGTCAACCTTCCTGTTCCCCCATGACCTACTTCTCCCCCTCTCTATTTCCCAGCTCCCCCTCCCCCCACCCCTCGCCGTGTTCCCCATCTGTTCAGAGGATCTTGCCTCATTTCTCTTCTCTTAGGTACCATGCATATTTTTATGTTCTTTCCTGTTTCCCAGACTCTCTGTCATTGGAAGTGCAGACTGGCACTCTCCTGATCCATGTCTGTCCTATTATTTCTAAGACACCAAAAATATTGCTATGTTATATACATAAAACTTCAACCATAAATTTACTTTAGATGTGATATAGTTACAGGCACATAAGGAGACCTAAGAGTTTATCTTATAAGAATATGAGCATTTTGATTATTCACATAAATTGATTATGTGATAAAGATCTTTATATATAGATATAGCAGTTTTCATGTTTTAATTTCATTTGAATTTTGTTTAAATTTGCTTTCCTATTTTCCCCATCATCGAGGCTCTATAAGGAGGAGAATTTACCAATGTAGATTGTGGACACGCTGCAATAACTTTGAAATTTTCTGTTCAGGTAGCAAAAATGGTTCTTTTCCTGTGTACAGGGCATTCAGACTGATATGGGAAATGTAGTTTAATGCCCAAGTAGATCAG